CCAAAATCGTTAACGGTGAGTGCGACGCCTATCTCCCATCTCAACAGGTACGCGCGTTGCAGAACTTTCGAAAACAGGAAGTTCAAACTTCGACGGAAATAAATTATTACTTTTGAGCGTATACCGATCGCATACGCCGTTGCTCCATATGCTGTAAATTCATGGAGCCACAGAAGCGTCCGCGTTCGTAGTTGCTCCTCATAGAGAAAATGCAGAAGGTGGTAGAGAGCGGGAAAATGTGCTATTCTTCATCCCAACTTCATAGTAAACAAACCGTCTAGCTTTGGGGGTTAAACTATGTTGAGCTACGTCCTTTATAAAAAATGCAGAATTTGGCGAATCTTAGTAAAAATTGGACGTATTTATGCTAAAAGGAACTATCTGGATAGGATTTGCGTAAAACATAGTTCCCCTTAGTATAAATACGTCCAATTTATGTTCAGATATATGGATTGCATATTGCAAAAAGGAACCAAGAGCATTCCAGTGCTGCTAGGATTATGCAAGTTACATGCTTTGAAATAAAATTATCGAAATCATGCGAAAAATTAAAGTTTTAAAGAAAATTTTTGCCTTGAATGCATGGCCGGATTTACCTACTTGCCGCCCATGGGCCGCCTGTATTTTGCCGCCCTCTTCTCATTCATTTTGAAACATCAATAAAAACCATCAAGTGAACGTGCCGGAGGAAGAAGGGTGCATAAGACGCGTTCACTCATATTGGACAAATTTTTTGTGCAAGCCCTGCCAACACTACTAGCAAAAGTTCACGGAACTTCGCGCGAAAGTTCAATTTCGTAGACCTATCTCTGCGGGGACAAGGCCTTTCATTTGTAAGAAATTAACTAAAAAATTAAGAAAGAACAAACATAAATGTGGTTTAATTATTAATTTTAACCTCCGCCGCCGTACCGCGATGACCACACTGTGTTTGGCGCAATGCGTGAAGTATTCATGTAGTCTTGTAGGCACTGTGCGTTTCACGCCGCGCCGACCGCAGTTGACCGTACTGTGTTTGACGCAATGCGTGAAGTATTCATGCAGTCTCGTAGGCGCTAATATGTGTTACATGCCGACCGTCGCGTCGAGGGCTTCTCCTTTTCATCTCAAGTCCTCGTGATCATTTCTCTTTGCGCCGCGCCGCTCCAGGCCAAATTACGTGTTTGGTACTCTCTTAACTCAACTCATTAAAGGTGCGCAGTCTTTTGTATCCCCGAAATACGACAAAATTAGAAATTAAAGAACTCTCAGGAAATGAGAGATTTTGTCACCTTTTCTTGTTTGTAATTTTTTTCTGAATGTGATTTTTTTTTGTCCCTGCATTTAAAAAAATTGCAAAATTTGCCGCCCCCTAATTTTGCCGCCATGGGCCGCGGCCCATGTAGCCACCCCCTTGATTCGGCCCTGCTTGAATGTATAGTTGATTGGGAAGTAATTATATAAGGCCTGATTAGATGATCAGTTTATATTTGCAAGGTAAGAAAAAGTTGCACAATTTTAGCGACATTGGAATGCTCTTGGTTCCTTTTCGCAAAATGCAATCCATATGACTTTCAATTTTCGATCTACAGTGGTGACATCATGGATGATGGATCGAACTTGTATCGAAAAAGTGACCGAAGCTTGGCGCACACTGGGCTCGGAACTAGTCGACCAGAACATGGCGCCAGCTCTCCCATTTATATTACGACTCTGTGTACTCTATGGACACGTGGCCTACTTGAAAAAAGGAGCTGTTACAGAAACGACTGGAATAAGGTCCAAGATCCCAAACTATTCGACAAAGCTAGGATACAAACAAAGGATTCGCGGACGAATCCGATGAGGTCCTCTTGTCTGAAGGAGCCGAAGATAGGCGAGCGTCTCCGGGTTTGGTGCAGCCGTGCTTAGGAAAAACGCCGTATGAACATTCGAGAGTTGCCAAATTTCCTTCAATAAAATTTTCATTTTTCAGGAAAGTTATGAATATTTTGCCTTCAAATTTTCAGGAACTTCAGGTAAAAATGCGAACAATATTATCCGGCAAATTGAAAAAAAAATATTCATAAATTTACGAGGAAATTCGTGTTCCATCGATGGAAATTTGGCAACGCCTGAAGGTTCATACGGCGTTTTCCCTTAGTCGAGCGCGGAGCCACCATTAACCAAACAGGAGAGCGGGCCCGCGGGTCGTCAAAAGGAAAAGGACAGTATCGGGGGAATATGATATCCCCGAAGACAATGGCCCTGTTATCGGGTCCACTCTGAGTGCAGGGCATTGTTCAATTGAGCCCGGGTAATGCGCCCGTGCCCACGGCCGACCGGCGGTGCCGGGTGCGGGGCCCGAGGGCCGCGGCTCCCGAAGACCGCGACGCGCGCCGCGCCGCCCCGATGGCGTCCCGGTGTGACACCGCCCTCGAGTCGAGCCGGGCCGATCCCAGGTGTTCGTCAACTTGCAACTTGCGGTCTACCCGTTCCTTCTTCTCCGGCTCGTCGCCGTCCGTCGTTGTTGCCGAATCCTATGTTTTACTATTTCTTTAAGAAGTGGATGCATTTTGCAAAAAGGAACCAGAAGCATTGCAATGATGCTAAGATTGTGCACTTTCATCCTTTGAAATAAAATTACTAAAATCACGAAAAAATATAAAATTTTTGTCTTAAATTAACAGTTTTTAGCGAGTAAAATAGGAACTGTTAATGGGTAATTAGGTTCTTCTTCCAAGCGTAAATAAGGTACACGATCTTAGCAACCTTGCAGTGCATCCTGGTTCCTTTTTGCTAAATGCGATCCAAGTATCATTCGAAGCGTTTGTGAAACTACCCTCCGGATTCGAGTAAACGCGGCGTATGCACCCTTCTCCCGCTGACACGTTCACTTGATGGTTTTTATTGATGTTTCAAAACGAATGAGAAGAGGGCGGCAAAATAAAGGCGGCCCATGGGCGGCAAGTAGGAAAATCCGGCCCTGGCAACTGGTTGTTCTTGCAGACTACGAGGAGAAATGATGGACTAACTGTCAGGTCTCTTGTCGGTTGCCGTTGGTTAGTCTAGTACTTACCTCCTTTGTCCGTTGCAACCACCCACTTCCACCGATAAGATCCTACCATATCCTTCTTGTCTTTTTGTCGATAGTTTTGTCTATTAATTTCAATAATCGGCCCGCTGCTGCCACGGACGCGGGAAAGTTTCAACTGAAGTCCGAAATCCGGCAACAGGGGAGCTGGGCCGCGTCACGTCCTGTCGGCCCGGTCCGTTGTGTCAAGTCGTGTCGATCGTCGACGCAGAGTCGGATCGTCCGAGTCGGTGTCAGCCGGGAACACGATATTTGCTCACCGATTAGCGCTAGCGCCGAGGATTGTCGTCGGTGTCTCCCGGAGCTTTCCTCCACTCCGATGGCGCTTCCCGCACCGCCTCTTGCCGGATCCCCCGGGAAACTCCGCGCGGCACCCGCACTGAAGAAAAATTCTCGGCGTTTGTACCAAGGTCCGTTGGTACCTTTACTCTTTTACTCTTTTACTACTTTACTCTTTACTATCACTCTTTTTACCAATTATTGGTAAATTCACCAAGACAGACTGGTACGCTTACCGAAAAACCGGTATTTTAACTGTTTTTTCAGGTAAGAATACCACTTTTATTGGTAATCAATTCCCGGTAACTTTGCCATTTTATCTGGGTAATTCTACCATAGTCGATAAAAAATATTGGTGTTTTTACCGGGGCCCAGTAAAATTACCGAGAAAGTTCAATAATTTTACCATCTCACTTTTTTTACCTATCATTAGTAATTTTACCATGACAGACTGGTAAGCTTACCGAAAAACCGGTATTTTTACTGTTTTTTTTTCAGGTAAGAATGCCACTTGTATTGGTAATCAATTCCCGGTAACTTTGCCATTTTATCTGGGTAATTCTACCACAGTCGATAAAAAATAGTGGCGTTTTTACCGGGGTCCGGTAAAATTACCGAGAAAGTTCAATTATTTTACCGAGATTTCTCGGTAAAATTACCAATTCCATGCATGGTATTTTTACCAAGAAAAAACTGGGATCAAATAGAACTCTGAATTCTTGGTAATTTTACCCTTTTCTTAGTAAATACACCGAGATTTTTTTTTCAGTGCGCCCTGCAGTTCGGCAACGCCGCCGCCGCCGCCGCGCGAAGAACATGCGTTTTTACTTACCCGCAGCTGTCGCTCAAGCTCATTCACTGTAACAGTGGCCCCCGGTAATGGTATCTGATAGACTTGAGTTAAAACGTACGAGAACTTGCCGCTTTTACTCGCTGCGAGTAATAGCTCTTGTTAAAGCGCGCTTTTTCCGACTCCTGTCCGTGTCTGACTTGACGGGTCGGTGCAGCTCTAATTGCGTGATCCAATCACCGGCGGTTCCCATCGGAGCCAATGGGGTGGCGCTATGTGGTAGTCGTTGCGCCTGAAATTTCGATCACTCAATTGGGCTGAATTTTGCAGTTCGGAACTACAATTTCCGGCTCATACATAAAAACACTTCCCTATTTTTCCTCTCATTGAAACTTTTGTTGGGGACAGTCACAAGACAATTTTATAAAAAATGATAAAAATCGCGAACTCACTTGTGCTATATATTGGTTAGTTCGCTGCCGACTGAGGATGGGGCCATCTCGACCCCGAAACGCGTTTCATCAAAATTAATATAGCACAAGTGAGTTTGAGATTTTTATCATTTATTATTTCCGCTCATGTTTCATTTTATGAATCAGAGAAGTTAACGATCTTCTTTTAACCATTTCCCGATTTTTCCTCAGTTTTCCCGGATTTCTGAAGAACCTGATACTTCGATCCTTATTCCGAATAGTGTTTTCAAACCTCGAAAAACATCGACAATTCACGCAATAGTTCTCAAGGGACTTTTCACTCGTATACGAGTGAATTTGTTCGAAGTAAAACCGCTGTTTGGTTTGATGTTGCCATTTTCCCCGATAATATACTATATTTTGTGGGTAATCATTACTAATGAGTATATATCCTTAAAATTTTCAGATATTCAGGTAAGTTGTGAATGACATTATCAGCGAATTTGGACGAGATTTATTCACAAATGGACTATATTTTGCGATTTTCAACTACAATTTCTGCTTCATCATTAAAAGCACTTCTGTGCATGGAGAAATCATTGATACATATATATACGTTGCCTTTAAACTGAGACAGAAATTGAAGTTCTTAGTCAGGGCCGGATTCACCTACTTGCCGGCCATGGCCGCCTGTATTTTGCCGCCCCCTTCCCATTCCTTTAGAAACATCAATAAAAACCATCAAGTGAACGTGCAGCGGGGAGGGGTGCATAAGGCGCGTTTACTCATCTTGGACACATTTTTTGCGAAGCCGTGTCAACATTACCAGCAAAAGTTCACGGAGCTTTGCGCGAAAGTTGAGTTCCATGAACCTCTCTCTATATGAACAAGATCTTCCATTTATAAGAAATTAACGAATGAATTATGAAAGAACAAACTGACCGTACTGTGTTTGACGCAATGCGTGAAGTATTCATGCAGTCACATAGGCGGTGTGCGTTTCACACCGACCGCTTCTGAACGCATTGTGTTTGACGCAATGCGTGAAGTATTCATGCAGCCTTGCAGGCGCTATGCGTTTCATGCCGACTGCTGCACCGCTCCGTTCCAGGTTGAATTGCGTGTTTGGTTTCTCTCTTAACTCGACTAATTAAAGGAGGTGTCCCTTGTATCACCGTAAGACGACAAAATTAGAAATTACTGTACTTTTACCCTCAGGAAATGAGAGATTTTGTCGCCTTTTCTCGTTTGTAATCTATTTTCTGAATCCCATTTTTTTCTCTCTTTTTTCGATACCTACATTAAAAAAATTGCAAAATTTTCCGCCCCCTAAATTTGCCGCCATGGGCCGCGGCCCATGTGGCCATCCCCTTGATCCGACCCTGTTCTTAGTTGCAAAATGTACAGTTCAAATTCCCGACAAAACATTCGTGTTTTATGAATGAATATCAGGCCACGTCTGAAAGCTCATACGGCTTTCTTCCTTAGGACGGTCGACTACGCGTAGGTGTGAAAACTCAGAAGAAAAACACCACATACGTACACACCACATGGTACAAACGTTGTTTCTAAACTGAGACAGAAATTGAGGTTCTTCATTTAGTTCAAACTCCCGACAAAAAATTCGTATTTTATCAATGAATATTAGGCCACGTCCGAGAGCTCATACGGCTTTCTTCCTTGGAACGGCCGACCACGCGTAGGTGTGAAAAATCAGAAGAAAAACATCGAGCATCCAGCACGTGTATGCGCGAGAGGGTGGGAGGGGGAGGTTGAGATCAGATACGTGCGAGGACATGATGAAGCTGTCAATGACGCACCGTAATAAGTAATGGAGAGCGTGGCGAAACGACAGCACCACCTGTTGGATAAAACAATCACCGACAGCGCATTCGTCATTGTCCGGCGTCGGAGCGCCGATCGGCCGGCCGGCTGCGGTCGCGACTTGGTCCTCCGAGCCGGATCGCCGGGGCCCGCGCTCCCAGTAAATCACGTTATGAATCCGCGAGTATCCCTGCGACCGCGTCCGATTGGCGGGCCGAGTCATTGGGGCGAGGTTTATCGCGATCATCCCTGTCGCCCGCTCCGCTGTTGCCAACCAACACGACGTTAGTGTCTCACCAACTCTATGCTCTGTAAGCTCTATGATCTGTAAGCTCTATGATCTGTAAGCTCTACGATCGGGAAGTCCCGGGTTCGACTCCCGGCCAGGCGACCTGAGTTTGATGGTCTCAAACGATGGTTGCCTGGGACTGGTTGCTCCGGACGGAGGGGGACGGGAATAAAGCGCAGGATTAGCCATTGTCAGCTATTTAAGGTAGAAAAAGCACACTGGAAAAAAAACACATTGGATCTAAAGTCCAGACTCTTGAAAACATTGACAAGAAAAAGGTCTCTTGATTCAATCAGATTTTTGCTTAGATCAAAAGGAAATCCGCTCAAATTAAGAGGCTTGGTTCTTGATTTAAGCTTAAATCTGATTGAATCAAGAGTCCTTTTTCTTATCAATGTTTTCAAGAGTCTGGACTCTAGATCCAATGTGGTTTTTTCCGAGTGTAGGGTGTAGGCACTGCCGAATAGCTGATGTCACCCGATCAAATCTTCAAAGTCAGGTGTTTTGATTGGCTTATTCGATGATATGGACCAATTACAGCACTTGAAATTTATATATCAAGAGAACTGTTCGATCGTCTAGCAATTGTGACATGAAATAAAAGGAATGAAAGTTTCCAGAGAAAGACAAAAAAGTGCCAGAAGCAGGAACGAGAAAGTTCCCGAGGGTTAGCGGGGGAATCCCGATTGCATTGCCTCGTCAAAGTGCGAGTGATTTCCATGTTCTCAATGTCCACGCGTAGTATGTTTCTTTGTCGAAGTTTCCCGGGAAATACATATATATCGATCCCGTCAAAGTTTCTCGGGAAATACATGGATCCTGTGAAAGTTTCCCGGGAAATATCCAATGATCCCGTCAAAGTTTCCCAGGAAATATTCAATGATCCCGTCAAAGTTTCCCACGAAAGATATTGACCCCGAAAATTCGCGAAAACTCTCCCGGAGACGGGAAAGTTTCTACTTAGAAACCTCCTGCTGAGAACGTTCCAGCTCACCCGACAAACCGACCGGGAACGAGAAGAGATCCCATCACCAGCGACCGTCCGTCGCTCGTTTTCCCGCGAAACGTCAACGCCGCTCCAGATTTTTCGCGGTTTTATTTATTTCCCGGCCGGGGTCGCGTCGCGGCGCTCGGCGCGGCGATACGTTTATTTATTTCGACAACCCGCGAACGGGGAATCGATATCATCACGGAAATAACTGGAGTAAGATCCACGGCCCGCGCTGCCTCATCGATCCCGGGCCCGCGCGCTTCGGGATCGTGACGCTGACCACTCGACCATGCGTCACCTCCATCTCCCATCTCCAGATTCGGCTCCATTCATCAATGTTCCCGCCTCCGGAAATGTGCTACACTGCCGTGCTAGGGAAAAACGCCGTATGAACCTTCAGGCGTTGCCAAATTTCATTTGATAAACCACGAATTTCCTGGTAAACTTGTGAATATTTCCCCCCAAAAATTTTCAGACAAATTTGTACGCAATTTAATCTAAATGTCTGAAAATTTCAAAGGAAAATATGCATGAATGTCGTCAAAAATACATGTTTTATCTAGGGAAATTTGGCAACCCTCGAATGTTCATACGGCGTTTTTCCTTAGCACGGCAGTACACCTGACACTTCGCTGCGCCTAACTCCAACGCGTCTCCCCCGTGAGTGTGTTGTTCTTACTTAACGAGGCAATTGCTAATGATTCCCAGCGATTGATTTTCGTTGAGTAAGCGCTCGTTCTTTTCGCATGGGTCTAGTTGCAATTCGTCTTCCTTCTGGAGATTTAAATTATGGCTACACCTGCTACGGATATGCCGCGAATACGGAAATACGGACAGCAGCACACGAAAAAAACAAGTGTTCCCAACCTACGCAACCCTCGAGCCGAGTCGTAGGTGGGCGTTTGACTCGTGCAGTTTTGAAGGTAAAATGGGATTTCAAAACCGTGATAAGGTGAAGAAAACAAGGGCGCATTTCTCCGAATCGTGTGTCTACGGACGACAGTCTTCCGTTCTCGGTGAAGGAGCAGTATGTTACATACATATAACTTACGATGAACACATACTGAAACCAGGTGACACTGCCATGCAGAAATGTAGAAAATGGGAACGAAAGACATGATAACCTGAAAAATACCCAGTCTTTGGGAACGGAGAAAGATGCACGGAAAAATTCAATTGCTGATTTAACAATTCAATTGCTAAAAAAAGTGACTGCAATGTTTCAACGTGGATTTTACAACAAAAAAATGCTACTTGAACCACTATTGTAAGCTAATTTAACCATGGGGGTGGTTAAGGTAGCATTTTTTTGTTGTAAAATCTACATTGAAACATTGCAGTCACTGTTTTCAGCAAGTGAATTGTTAAATCAGCCATTTAATTTTTTCCTTGTGTATGTCAGAGTCATTGATCTTCCAATACAAGCAATGTAATCGGGAAAAGCAGAAGTTATTATTCAGCAGGTCTACATCAATTTCACCGATTTATTGACGGTTCATATGCGACTTCATGCGTATTTCTTCTTTATTTAATTTTGTAGAGCAATTCAATAAAAGTACGTCATTTTTTCTTAACAACTAACTTAAGTAGCCGCTGCGCCATCACTTGGTCGACATGAAGAACGAGAAAATAGGTGTGGATCAGGGCCGGATTTAGGGGGTGGCTACATGGGCCGCGGCCCATGGCGGCAAATTTAGGGGGCGGCAAATTTTGCAATTTTTTTTAAATGTAGCTATATAGTCCAGTCATTCTAGCCAAAAAAAGGGCCTAACCTCGGACAAATTAGCACAAACTTCTCTTGTGTTTTAAAGCGCTCCAAAACATGTCTAGAGCCCCCAAAAAAAAGTTTACCATTAGCCCCCCTCGGGAACACAGTCAAAATTGCTTATAACAAAATGGCGGCCGTCTGAAATTACGTATAAAATGATTCTTGACTTCGTCAGCGTTTTCCCGATTTTGCGTAGTTCTAGTGCATCCAGTGAAAAAAATCATTCTTGTCGTTTTTTTAGAGGATAAAATTTTGCTTACAAATATATTTTAGTTTTTTTAATTTTGACTTGTTGATGCCGAGCTACGAGGTCCGACACCGAAAAAAAAGGCTAGAATTTTCTTGAAATTTCAAGTTTGGTTTGTAACTTTTAAAATACAGCTTCGGCAGAATTTTTTCTCTCAAAACTGTTGGCACCATTGGAAAGAGCATGAAATTTTCTTTTCAAAACACATATTACATCAAAATTTAACTGAAGGTATAAGACCTTTATAGGACCTTTATGGAATGGTGTCAAATTTGACATTTTTTTCTTTGTGTGAATTTTGGCTTGAATTTCGATTAGTGTGACCCTTTTTCACGAATATTCGACTATTTTTGAA